CTTGGGTCAAGGCCCAGCCTTACAGAGATGGGGTCACCCGCCCGGACCCGAGACGCCCGTTGGCCGACAGGTGGCTCCCCAAACTCAAACTCGAACAGCGCGCCACAATTCTCGCGAATTTTAGAGCCGGCAGTTGACTCATGCTGGGGCAATGGGGAATGGGGCTGTGATATTGGGCCCAGCCAGGTACATCCTCGCCGATCGATAAGCTGTGGATTTTGCATGGTTGCAGCGAGTCACACATTTCTATGGCGAGGAATGATTTCCGAGAAAGCTTTGTGTTGATGAAATCAAGACGAGATTTTTATTCTACCAAATCTCTACGGAAGAAATAAGGTTTTTTTTTTTTTAAAAAAAGAGAGAGAAAGTTAACAAATCTCCGCCAATAAAGGCACGCGCATCAGAGTGCAATTTACAACTCTTGTCTTGTCGCTATTATACCGAACTTGGTAAATTGCACCCTCTGAAAGGCGGTTGTTCCGCGCCATTGGTTACACTCCGCGTGTCAAAATTGAGGCCCTGTGGGTACGTAATTCATGATACACTTTGATCTTATTATTTAATTTTTTTTAAAGAGCGTGTGATTATCATGACTACTCTAAACAAGTCGTGGAATGGCCAGAGCCACATTCAAAACAATCTTATAACTGCAGACTAAAAGACTGCACCATTCAGATGCTCCAGCTCCATCAAAGCAGCTATTTGTGGTTTCGCTTCGCCACCTTTTTGGGTCTCATTTCATTTTTATACAGCGTAAAAAAGTCGTCAGGCTCCGTCGGGTGCTCTCCAGTCACATCATGAAAGGCCGTGGTGGAAATGTAATTCGTCTTGCCCTCTCGCACCAGGCTGTAATAATCGAGGAGATATTGCTGTTCCGAGGGATCAATGCCACTTTGCGACTTGAGAATACGCTTTGCTTCCGCTCTTTTTTTTAAAAAAAAAACCATGTCAGCTTTAAGACCAGAAAGTAGATGAGAAAAGTTGTACATACTCTGAAATATTCTCAAACTTCATGTCGGCTCCAAGCACCTTACTAGCTGACGATGCGAGCTCCTTGCCGGCGCAGAGCATCGGGCCTGGATACTTTAGCATCTTGAAGCGACGCAAGTTAATGTAGTGTTAGGCTCACCTGTAACGACCATCATCTGCCCGCGATGCCGATCATCGAACCCGTGCTTGCCGCTTCCCGTCAGAACATGGCCTGCAATGTTTGCAATGTCCTACATGAATGGCCCAATTAGCATGTATACAACGGTAGAAAGAGAATATTGGAGCCACATACTCCGAGAGCAACAGGCGCAAATTTGTGGTTTTCGCCAATAGGTAAGGGAAGCGTAGACTCATTCTTGACTATCGATTCATAGAGCAGTAGATTCTCCGCGTAGAACCCCGCGCTGTCACAAGTCTGTTAGCGACTTTACTTATTTTTCGGACAAACTGCGTGTAGTTGAATACACTTGCGTACCGGATAACACAAGGCGAACCGCCCGTCGGCGTGCTAGCATCGCCCTTGCTCTGCAGCACCAGCGTCTCGAGATCAATAAACTCGCGCAGGCGCGGCTGCTTGTCAGCGGTCGCGTAGTCGCACCCAGCGCTGCTAATGAGCAGCACGTTGGCAATTTCCGCCTTTTTGGCCGCCTCGACCAGCTCGACGCAAATGTCGTACTTGTCGTGGTGCGCCGGCGGCACGAGGCAGATGGTGTCGCAGCCGGTGCTGCGCAGAACCTTGACCATTTCGCGGACGCGGCCGGGCTTGTGCTGCACAACCTGCGCGCCGGCGGCCTCGAGCTCCTGCGCCTTGTCCGACTTGGCATTGAGCGCCAGGCCGACGACGGCGTCGGCTTTGCGGGAAAAGTCGCGGTGCTGCAGGAGCAGCTCGGCAATGGCGAAGCCAGTCTGCCCATCGACTGCCGTGACACATATTTTGCGTGTCATGATGGTGCTGCGAGTATTGATAAAAGATCTTTGTGGTAAAGTCTGGTTTCCGTCTTTGGCGGTTGTAGATGATGGACTGTCAATAGGAATGCAGTATAATCCGGCAAGTTTATACCATTCATTGCATATCGGCGGGTGGCCAATCTCTTTATACACAAATATGCAGGACAATTTATCATCAATGACGAGTTACATTCACCTCTCCGTACGACATCAATGACATGCTCAGAATCCGCGACTCACTGTGACGTAGTAGCTCCTGTGGCTGTGGCGTCTTTGGCCAAGCCACCCCAAATGAGAGACGGTCATCTTTGTTAACAGATCGTGACAGAATAAGAACGAGGCTGAGATCGGAGAGGTTTCGCCAAGTCTGGGGTGAATAACCTTAACATAGAGCCTATTGCATTCAACTTGCAGCCAAGCAGTGGCCAGTTGTACTAGACACGGGCCCTAGAGACATTGGGGAGGTGTACCCCCGATGAGTGTTACGGATCATTCGATACCCCGCAGTTGATTGGTCGACTACATTGTCACCGTTGCGTAATGTAAAAGATGTGCTGAAATGCAATTGTTCACGTCTAGTTGTAAGTCGCAGGTAGTAGAGGGTACGGTGACGAAAGAGTCTACCCGCCCGCAGGACCCCAGACGCGCGGTACGTCATAACTCAATTTCCTCGTCTATAAAATTTGGAGATGTGAGTCGATACATTACAGGAAAAGAGTAATGCACAATTCAGAAATCTCGATAATGACCTATGCATACCTAGCCAGATTATCGTCCTTCTTTGCTCGCAGAACTGGTCAACCGTGACACTGTGAAAAGTGGTCTCGGACTGATGACACAGCCAGCAGAGAGCTTTTGATAGAGGATAGCGATGCGCCTCTTGTGGAGTGCTTAAAATAGATATGCCCGGCATTGATGACTCGAAAATCAAAAGTAAAAAGCTTCGTCATTCAGAGTTGCGTACTAAATAGTTAGGCAAGTAATGCAGCTATATCTAGCCAAATTAACCACCCTCCTTGCCTCGCTAGGTTTGAGGCCCATCGCGGCCCCTCCGCATGCTCCGTGGCCCCCTTGTTTCTAATCCTTTTTTGCTGCCACATCAACCCTTCTACTCGCCGTCTCTCTCTCTCTCTCTTCCAACGTCAATTGCATGACAACATAAAACCATGCTCCCATCGAGGCGGAGCATCCGGCCCAGCGCGCCGCCGCTGCTGCTAGCACTCCTCGCCCTCGTGCTCTTTGCAGGCACCGCCTGGGCGTCGGTGGGCGACCAGCTGCCCGAGTTTAAAGACTGTGTCCAGGTGCGTTTTTTTTTTCCCGATAGCTTTATGATTGCAGCCCATCGATGTCGACTTTCACTACGGAGCCTGAAGATGCGAGATGAGATAGATTCAAGAGGCTAATTGAAAACGATTCTAGGTCTGCAAGGCTGAAAACTGCCGCGAGGGACACCAAACACCAATCCGTACGTCAACCACCGCCCCCCGTCTTGTCGCATCGACTAAAACAGCAACAACTTGCCCTTTTTTCGAGAGCCTCCCAACTGACAAATAACCACCTTCCATCAGCCCTCCACCGACGCCTCCTCCTCTGGGACTGCCCCGCCGAGTGCGACTACACCTGCCAGCACATCATCACGCGCCAACGCGTCGCCTCATCATCGCGCGTCGTGCAATTCCACGGCAAGTGGCCCTTTTACCGATTCCTCGGCGCGCAAGAGCCCTTTTCCGTGCTCTTTTCCCTCGGCAACCTCTGGGCGCACTACAACGGCCTCGCCAAAATCCGCGCCCGCGTCCCTCCACGCTACCCGCTCCGGCCCTTTTACGTCGTGCTCGCCTACGTCGGCATCGCCTCGTGGGTCGCCTCGGCCGTCTTTCACGTCCGCGATTTCCGCGCCACCGAGCAGCTCGACTACTTTGCCGCCGGCGCCAATGTGCTCTACGGAACGTACTATGCGCCGGTCCGCGTGTTTCGTCTGGATCGCCCGACGCCGACGAGGCGGTCGGCGCTGCGTGCGTGGACGCTGCTCTGCGCGCTCATGTATGCGGCGCATGTGGCGTACCTCAAGGGCGTGCGCTGGGACTACCAGTATAACATGACGGCGAATATTGCGGTCGGCGCTGTGCAAAACGTCTTGTGGACTTGGTTCAGCGTGCAAAAGTATAGGCAGTCGAGGCGCCTGTGGACGGCCTGGCCCGGTTTGGTCGTCGCCTGGGTCATGCTCGCCATGAGCATGGAGCTGCTCGACTTTCCGCCCTGGCTGGGCCTGATTGATGCGCATAGCCTGTGGCACTTGTTCACGATTGCGCCCACCATCCTGTTTTACAAGTGCGTTTGTCAAAATTAACCCTTTTCTCGCTGCGACGGATGATGCTAATGTGGGCAGTTTTCTCGTCATGGACGCCACGGCCGACATTGCCTCGACCGAGAGACTAAAGGCATAGAGTTGTAGACTTGGGGGGCTGCTGTGGGATCGGCGTTTGTGCTTTTGAATCATTGACACTGCATACCCGTCCATAATTAATCCGTTTTATTGCAATTGTTTAGCAAGCAATCCAAGCTGACTGATATCAATCCAATCGAAGCCGATAGATACAAAATTCAAATATTCAAACAATGTGCCACCATTAACAAGGTATACTATTCATCTTTTCATCACATGTACGCCCGATCCCAAACAAGGAAACCAAAAAAGGAAAAAAAAAATTGCACAGTCTTTGCTTCATTGTTCACTCTTCCTCTTCCGGCTCACCCGCTTAGCAAGTCACGAACAGACAGCCCCCGCGCGTTGGCTGTCATGCCCCGACGGTCCGCGTTGAGCATCAGCAGCGCCGCCGTCGCCTCGTGGTCCAGCTCCGTCGTCTGCGGGTTAAGCGCGGGACTCGTCACCGTCGATGCCGCCGACGTGGACGTGCTGCTCCTCGCGTAGGGCCCGTGACGCTGAGGCCCAAACGCGGGCGACGGCGTGGCCGACAGCGTGAAGCTTCCGTGATGGCGGTATTCTGCTGATGTTGTCGACGAGTACGAGTGGTGCCGCGAGCGAGCGTCTTGCGCGTGCAGAGCCGGCGAGACGGACGGCTGGTGATGGTGCTGCTGCTGCTGCTGCGGCGTCGAGTAATGGTAGTGTTGGCTATCGGGGCGTGCGGTGAATGTGGGCGATACGGCTTCCGAATCAGACATTTCGACATCGGCCGGCTCGTCGCCGTGAAAGGTGGGGTGAAATTCGCGAATCGACGGTAGCGGGTTGCCCGAGGCAGAAATGTCGCCGCCACGGCGGTCGCCGTCGCCGCTGTGTTGGGCCTTGAGCTGCGACACGCAGTCTTCGAGATAGCGGATATACTCAATCGATGCCTGTCGCTGTTAGTCTTGATTTGATCTTTGCGTCGGTTCAAATGGACTGAGGGTAAAAAAAGCCGCGCATACCTGCAGAATGGCCAGCTTGTGCATGTCGCCGGTGCAGGCGGGAATCATATCCTTGAGCACCCCAAACTCCTCATTCATCTTGCTGCGCCGCCTCCTCTCAATTAGGCTGTGCGCCGTTTTGCGGGCAATTTTGCGTCCGGCCGCGCTCGTCGCGCTCGGCTGTTTCTTGCCGCTGCTGGTCTTGCCGGACGCGCTCCCTGCGGCGGCGACGCTACCACCATTCCCCGTGCTGGCCGTCGCCCTGGCCACCTTGCCGCCCGCTCCTGATGCTCCTCCCTTTCCAGCGGTGCCGTCTTTCGAGGCGGAGGAGGGTACCGCGTCCTCTTGCCGGGGCTTCATCTGGATAATCTTGCGGGAGCGGGTCGGCGGCGGCGGCAGGGCAAAGGCGCTGCCGTTGACGTCCTTGGTTTCTTTGGCGGCGGCGGCGGTGGCAGCAGAGGAACGACGGCGAGCCTTGACCGTCTCGGCAGCCTGCATTGGATAGGATGGCGGGCTCGCTTGCTGCTGCTGGTGCGGCTGCTGCTCGTGGCTGTGGTGGGCGGCAACAGAGGTCGTTCCGGGGAAGAGCTTATCCGGGGATGTACGCGCGGCGTCGTGGAGGGCAGGAGGGGGCAACTCAAACGCCAGGTGGAGCGAGGCGATTTGACTGGCGCCGTCTTTTGCCTTGAGATCGGTGGACGACCCGGGTGTAGGAGGTAGGCCGGGTCGAGGCATTGTGATCTGGAGTGTTTTCTTGGTGTCGTGTGCCGTCGTGTAGAGCAAACGCAGGCCGGGACCGGGCTGCAAGGTTTCGGGCTCTTTTGTGGATGGGCACGCCGTTGGCGGGCACGACGTTGTGGAACTGTATAATCAGCTGGCTGCAATGCGGCGTTCAGGCTTGGCTAACGTGATTGTCTCTGTTGCCAGCGGATTGATAATGGCGTCTTGTGTCGAGATAAGGTTGTGGATGGGTAGCTGGCCAATGGGATGAGGTAGGCGCTGTAGTAAATGGCACGGCCGCGTGGTCGATTCGTGGCTTATATTGCGCTTGCTTTCTTCTCAACCTCAATTCCCGAGACAATGATGATAGATAAACCGTCGTTGCCGTGAGCAAGTATGTGAATGAGCACTGAAGGTGTCACGAGTCTGCGTGATGGCGGTAGGCTACCCACAGTATTGGCTTCCCTGAAATCACGCGTGGCTCTCAACTTATAAGAAAAGGTAACCAATCGAGAGATGATGGCGCAATGAGAAAGTTTAAAAGTTTTCAGGAGAACTTTGGGCGGCCAAGAGCAGTCGAGAGAGTAAGTGACAAGTTTGTGGGGGGCCAAGCGCAACGTTCGATGCTAGAATGAGAAGATGGGTGTAACGGCGGAGCAGACTATTGCACACGTTAAAGTCGTGTCTACCTTTTGTTTTGGTGCAAAGGGCAAACAAGAGAGATTTGTAATTGAGCACGCGAGTAGCAAGAGTAAGAGCAATAGAGAGGTCGGGATGTGAAACGGTGGCAAAGGTTTGAAAGGGACAACCTAGATAACAACACGGAGGGGGGGGAGAGGATGGAAATGAAAGATGACGTTTCTTGCCGCTTTGCTTCTTTGGCTAGCCCGTCTACGGGGGGTGAACAAGTAAGCAGGGTCGTGACACTTTTACGTCTTTTTTTATTTTTATTTTTCATTTTTTTGAGCGAGTAAAAAGGCTGTGAGAGTGGCCACGAGGGCAAAAGCTTGGATCGATCGTTCTGTGCTTGCAGGGGACGAAGACGGAGAGCAGTGCGCCAGGCCACGCGCCCATACTGTTGGTAACGAAAGACTTTGGGCGATGAAACTAGCTGGAAAGGGGAGGACCTCTAGACTTTTCATGGTAAGAGCAGCAGGAAGAAGATGCAGGTAACTACCTCGCCACCTATGTACAGAGTTAACGGAACAAAAAAAAAAGCAAAGGGGGTGAAAGCTCAATTGACCAAGCAGCATCGAGCAAATGGTCGCGTGCTCGCCAAACAAGCAGCCAAGCCCGGTGCAGCCAATGGCAGCACACGGCTAGCCCATGTGCATGGCATGAATGGGCGATGATCGAGAAAGGCACATGCAACAAAACGAGACAGACTTGTTCAAGCCTCAAAGCGTAAATGGTACTTGGCGACAAGACTTGTTCATTTTCGGTAACTTGCTAGTTCAACTTGTAGAGAGGACTTGTTGATAGTTATTCGTAATAACTTGTAATACTTCATCTCCCCTATTCTTCTCCACCATTTGCCCCCATTGATTGGCAGCTGCAATCGCTCCACAAACTTTGATGAACCCCTTCATCCTTGTCTAGTTATTCTTTTATTACCGTTTTGTCTTTTCATGCCCCCATCGCTGTCGTTCCACCAAGTTGACCAGTTAGGCTTCGCCAAAGAGCTCGCGTGCCTGGCCTCGTGCTCGGTGCTCGTGTGCTTGCTTGCCCCCCCCCCCCCCCCGTCGCATGTGCAAAGCTAAATAGACATGGGCTGTATTTTCAGGCAGGTCGGCAAGTCGCCCTCATCTCCTATCTTGTGATCTTCTGTCTTTTTTCTCCTCGACCTCCCGCCCTCCACCGTGGAGGAACGTGGGCAAGTGGGCTCCCGGCACATCAACCCCTGCTCTTCGGCCTTTTTACAACGAGATTTGCCGATGCTCAATGGATACATGTTGTCGCCGTCGAAAACAGGACAGCTGGCTTATTTATTCATCGAGCGTCTCAACAAGTCGCTCAGCAATACATAAAAGCCCGATGATGCGTGCCCAACGTACATTCAGACGACCAATGCTCCGCGTCTGATCCTTGTCGCCTGCCCATAGGCCACGATGCGGTCCACCTCGCCAGTATTGGTCAGTCCAAAACCCTGATAATTATTACTATAAAGTAGAAAACGCCCTCTGCAGCTGCATTTATATCAGTGCCGTTGTTTCTCGGCCTCCGCTGCAGATACGGTCTCGCGGGTTTCGCATGTATATGAAACTCATCTTTGACTAAATCGTCTCGGTCCTGGTTTTGCAAATGTCGCAGTGGATTGCGGCGCTGCGACAGATGATTTGCTTTTTGCTACGCCACGTATCGAGACGGCACGATGAATTGCCGTTGACGCAGGTGGCAGCCACGGGTTCCGCGCTCACCCAGGATTTTGTAATTAGTCGATTGGCGCTGCTTTGCGACTACCTTGATTTTGTGTCTACACCAGCGAGACAATCTGCTTCGCCAATTACGCTAATTTTCTCGCTTGTGCGGTTTGGTGGCCAGCTGCGAGTTGGCGATCGCGACAACGCACGTCTGACTGACTCGCCAACGCCGCAAGTCATCCACCATCGGCCAGCCACAAAGTCATGATACATGCTTATATGATCCAGCAAATATCGCAAACAATATCCATACTCGTGTGCGATGAACGGCCTAAATCCAGCATCCCCAGATCGCCGCCTATCGATCGTGTGTAACTATTTATGATTAGTCTGGACGTTGGCCGCCCACGTTTGCCCACAAAGGTCTGCACGTGATTCAACTCCAGGACGGGCCAAACCAAAACAAGTCCACCGTACCTAGAAGCACAGACAAACGAAGCTACTAACTAGTTAGTCGAGCAGAAAAGGG